TGCTACAAAGGTTTACATCAATATCCTTGTTGTTGTGCCCCACATACTCAAACACATACAGCTATAAATCAGATAGTTGTGCTGGTGAGAGTGGGTTACAGAAGGCTTGTTAGTTAATACAGGGTCACGTCAGCAGCAGGCAGCAGCTGATGACTGATATGTTTGTGGCGGCTGGACGTCAGATGCACAGTGTTCATTTCACACTGACTGAATGAACCCTCACAAGCAGCTCCCCTAGGGCCATGTGCCAAATGTCAAGCCATATGTTACATGTATGTGTGTATGTGTGTCTGTGTATGTGTGTCTGGCCCCTCACAGTGTAAACCTGTACATGTAGTGACCAGCACATTTGTAAGTTTGGAACAGGCCGTTCAGTGCTGCAGGAATTTAAATGGAGTTTCATATCTTTCTGTTGTCTAACAGGAGATAATGAGCGAGCAGCGAAAGGGGGGGCAGAGTTCACTTGGCTCACGGACGGTTTGGCTTCTGATTTGGCTGTTGCGTCACTTGACTCCCACATAGCCTTTCCTGTCAGACGTCAGACACCTGTCCGTTCTCAGTTTTATGAATAACCGGCCAGCAGGAGGGTCATCAGGGTCCGATGCATCATCGCTGTGCATCACGGCATTATCAAAGGGTGCCAGTGCATCATCAGTGTGCCTTGTCATCGGTTAGCGAAAGTGGATGAGCGTAATAAGCAGCAACATTTCATCTGTTAGCGCCAGTATTTTATGCTCCTGTATTGTCCATTTTATATACAACTCTGTGATAAATAATGCATAATGAATTCTGAATGAAGTTACCAGAATTATAACTAGCTGTCTTTATTGTTACTGACGAATACCAGTAATACTGAAATGTATCACTGCCTGTTTAAAGACAGCATTACTATTATAGACACAATCTATATATATATATGTATCTCACCATGTGAGAGTTAAAACCTCTGACTCTTTGAATATAATAATGGTCCCTCATTATGTGTAGGGTTAGGGTACAACTACAAGAGGAAAAAATATTCCTTAGAATAAGGGGGTAAAAAATAGAAATTCATAACAAAGACTATATGGATATATGTAAATATATGTAATATCAGTATCAAAATATGCATATTAGCCTGGTGTGTAGCTGAGTGCTTCAATTTTTCAGCACAAAAAAATTAAAAAATGTGGAGAAGTCACAGTTGTTATTCAGTGTAATTTAACCCAGATTTATAAGGTATAAATATAAATAAAGTATACATGGTGTTACGTAGTGCGCAGTAATTTAATCCTCACACAACCAAATCTGTAATCATACAACCGTTTTCCATGACTACCATCCATCCATCCATCCCGACCTGAATGCAGCATGAACACAGAAGATGCAATAATCTTCATAATCCTTTTATTATTTTAAACTGTAAACATGAATGAAAGTGTATGTTGTAAGTTGTAAAAGAGTTGTTAAAGTTATCTACAGTTAAGATGATATGTTAATATTTAAACATTTAAAACTTCAATAAAATCCAAACAACAGACAGTTTAGGAAGTGAACTTTATTTAAATAAATAGCCACATAAATAAACAATCTTTCTTGAACTAACAATCTCTCTCCAACTCTTCCTCCCTCCACACACACTCACACATGCACACACTCACACACAGACATGCACATGCCTACACAGTCAAGTAACAAACAGAAAAAAAAGAAACACTTCTTATTATCCAAAGTTTATCAAAAGGGGTCATCTTACAGATTTGCATCACGACACTTAGTGTTTCAATAGTTTTGTGAAGTTTTTCATCATGAGAAAAAAAAAATCAGTAATAAGAAATATGAATAAAGTGCAAGTCTTGAGTCTGTTTACACAGCAAGTTCAAAGGTCGGATTCAGAGAAGAGAGAGAGGTCAGAGAAGATATCAAAATGGGCTTTTAAATGGCCAGTAACGCATCTTTCTTTCTTCAGTGTAGTGATGAGAGATGGAGACCTCTGGGTGGGTTTGTTCAGATAAAGGCACAAGTGTTGGTAGTGAGTGCAATCAACCAAAAATTATTGGATCGAAAAATCAACACTGCACGTTTCCAACGTAGAACTGGGTTTGGAAAAACACTGCTCTTCTACAAGATGTTTCACAGATATGAGAGAACTAACTAAGCTTACAATATTACACATCTCTTGCATCTTTCTAATACGTCGTCTGAAGTGACTGCATGAATAAATCAGCTTGTTGCAGGTCATTTCTACCTATTTCTACCAACTTATGGACAACTGAAAAAAGTTCAACTTCCAGCACAACATGGTATTGCTATGTTCAGATTTTTATGTTTTCCTTTTTTTTTTATCTTCTTCTTTTCTAGAAAAGTACAAAAAATGAATACCACCATGGTCCTGATAGTAACAGCTAGAGATAATAACAACATGTGTAGCAGTAGGATTTGGTGGCAGCAGGAGTTTTCTCACAGCAAAAGCTAAGGAGGAGATTGTGTGAAAATGCTAGCTAACCACCATGCTACATTTTGAGACAGCATTCAACAAGTGAAAAGTCAGTAGTGTATTTGTGATAGATCGCCCGTCTCTTGTGCTGTTCACTCTTTGGTAAAACCCAAATGATTCCTTTCACTTAAAGAACTAAAAGCATGTTGTGTGAAGAGACAGCATTTTGAAATGCCTTGAGTCTTTCCTCTCAATGTCTACAGTATCATCTTATTATGTTACAGAACTAGTACCTGTTCTAGTCAGCTAGCTAGCACAGCAAACAGACAACATTTAAAGTCATAACAAAAAACCCTCAGGCAAATATGCATGTACATTTTGATCATCCTATGTAGAGCCTCATCTTTCCTTTGTATTTCAATGTGAAATATTGCACTGTTCCCAGTCTTTGTTATGTCCATATGAAAACCATCATTCCTTTGATATTCTGGGATTGATGTTGGTCTGTTTGCAAATTCTTGCCCGAGGAGGTAGTAAAAGCGTCTATCAAACAAAAGGAATACGGATCGATTGATGTATCCACATTATGTAAGGTGCTACCAAGCTGAGTGAAGTACCTGGTGTGCTTTACTCAATCAGCGAGACACTATCTTTCTTCAGTTTTGGCTGTTTAGGATGAAGCAGTCTTTTTGCAGCTTGAGGTAAAAGCAGCATTTGCGTAGCTATAATAATCTGCGCAGGAACAAAAAAAAAGGTCACAGTTTCAATACAAATGGACTTCTTCAGTGAACGTTTGTAAGCTTAGGGCACTATACTGCATGTACATTGCACTGCTACAGAGAAATGTCTCTTTAGAAAGGCGAACAAAGTGGGAAAAATGAAAACAAAAAGAAAGAATTTTGGTCTTCTGTCCAGTCAAGTGAAAAATGTCGAGAACAGGAAATGACACAAAAAGTGACTAAAAAAAGAATGAGGAAGAGAGAGCCTTCCTGTATTCAAAACAACAAACTAACGTCAGCTCTCATTTGATTCAAGTGAGTCCATCTGGGAGCTGGATGAAAGTCTTTCAGTCAATTATTGCTTCTCTGGCCGTCTGATACGGGTTCAACACATTGTCCAGAGTTTGGTTATTGCTTAGTCTTTAGCTTATATGATATCAGAAGCAAACACAATATACAGACAAGCGTGGACACATTCTCACGTGTACCGCATGTTGTTAAATAAAGTGTAAATTCGCCGCTTGCATCTGCTTTTTGTTCTTTCTCATCACGTCTGCTCTCTTTTCTTCTCGGCTCAAAAAATCTGGATTTTTTTTGCTACGAGCGTCTTCCACAGAGAGAACAATCGCTGGTCTCGATGGCGGACGTATTACTTCACCATCACACAGCTACTGAGCTGCTGCTGTGCAGCCCGGCCCAATTCCTGCATGTTAGGATCTGTGCTGGAGACTGAGCCCATGCTCCACACCACTGGTTTGGACATGATTGGGAAGGTGCCTTGTGTTGCACACTGGGGCTGTTGTTGGAGGCTGGCGTGGGGGTGAGGGTGAGTTTGCTGGCTGATGTGTAGACGAGCCTCGAGAAGGTAAGCAGCGGAGGCCACGGGGGACAGAGTAGAGGAGTAGCAGGATGAGGAGGATGAAGAGCAGCAGGAGGAGGAAGTCTCGAGGGTTTGTTGCCAGGGGCCGTGCTGTAGACCCACTGAAGCTTGCTGAGGAGGCAGGGCGGAGGGGGTGGGGGTGTCAAACATGGAGGAGGAAGCGAACACGGTAGTAGGTGGAGGAGAGGGTGACTGCTGCTGGGCCAGAAAGATCAGGGCATTCTGGGTAGGTCCTGTCTGGGTGGCTTGGACCTGAGGCTGGGGTTGGTGCTGGATCTGTAGCATCCTAGAAAACAGAGAGAGGTTTAGACTCTCAATGCACAGAAGAGCTTTGGATCGACATCATCAAATATATAGTACATCACAACAATGTGCTTTAATGTAATAGTGTGTCTCACCTTTGCTGGTGCAGCACCTCCTCCAACATGCTGCGGTGCTCGGACAGAGCCGGACCCAGTGACCCTCGGCTACCGCGGTTACAGGAGGCTGGAGGAACAACCTGCCTCGTCAGACCCTTGATCTTATTTAATCCCAGAAGCCCTTTAGTGCGTGTGTTTTTCCTCAGCTGCTGGCGGAAAGCTTTGAGGCCTGTGGAAAGACGTGGGAAAGTGTTACACAATACTCCTTTGATCCAATAATGTGACACACTAGACATGAAAATGGAAGTCAGAGTGGATAACTGACACATGGTCGTGCTACTGTACCTTGAGTGAGGGAGGTGTCAGAGGCTCTGCGACCCTCCTGGAAGCTGGCCGCAGGCAGGCTGCCCTGGGCCTGGGGCAGGAGGTGGGAGGAGAGGGCCAGGGGAGCTCCAGCAGGCAGCAGAGCTCCACCTTCAGCTCCTGAGGCCAGAAGTGTTGACATCTCACCCATAGCAGCCTGCATGGTGGGGGCAGGACTGGATGAGGACTTCAGACAGCTGTCAGAAGAGGCACCATCTGAGGGACTGACCACGATACCTACAGAAACATGACCAGGCAGAAATTAGACTCTATATACGACAGACTGTGGATTAACATGTGCTGTTTTACACATGTATTGCATACTAACATGGAGGGTTGCACTGGTGGAAACGGGCCGACACCTCAGCCAGAGTGTGTCTGCGGGAGGTGGTGGTGGGAGGGAGCAGGGGTCCCAGGGTTTGTGTTGCCTCCTCCTCCTCCAGGTCCCTGGGTCGCACCTCTTCGCTGATGCTCGTCTCCAGCAGGCTGTTGGGTGAAATGGAGCGGTTCCAGAGCAGTCTGTTCAGGCTAGCCTCCACTGGAAACACCACACGCTGTAAGAAGGAGTTGGACTGTTACTAATTGACAGAAAAGCATTTGCCCGTGTTAGATAGGTATCAGGTATCTCCTAACCTCTGAGCTTCTGAATGCTGTCAAGTTTTATTAAAATATGTTTACCTGGAACAATCCACCTTGGTCATACTCCTTTTCTGAGTACACTGGAGGAGTGCTTTTGGCTGGAATTGAAAATGCTGTGGTTCTGAAGCTGTCTGTGGTGGACTCCATGATCACCTAAAAGCAAGCAGAAAGCATTTTAGACTTCAAGTACAAGCCGCAGGTTAGATCAGGACTAGGTACAACTTTAAGCTCAATAACACCCATCTGGAGTGCTCACCTCTGGGCCGGTGGAGTCGGAGGTGCTCCTGGATCTCTGGCTCCAGGTTCCACACTGGCGGCTCAGCTGCTGGGTGCGATGCTCTCTCACTCTCTCCAGCAGCAGGTAGTAGATGGCAGAGAAGTGATTGTAGCTGCTGCTCTGCAGAGACTGAGGGAAAGGACACACCGTAGATTAGTGCTTTTGCCACTTTGTTTACTTTCCATCTCTTCCGATCTTTATAGCTTTTCTTTGTAAGGCAGCACAACACTAATTCTCAGACATATGTAAGTAAGTAAACTTTGTCAGTCAGTCACCTCGATAGTCCTCTGGCGGTCGATGCCCAGTGTGTTCATGATGCCGAGCACAGGTTCACTGTAGTCCCCCAGGTTTGAGTTGTACTCGGTCAGGGAATGGCTAAGGGTCTGGTGGGCGGCTGTTGGGTCTGCCAGCATCCAGCGGTGCTGCTTGATCTGGGCCACGCTGATCCTCCTGGCTGGGTCCACGACCAGCATCTTACGGATCAGGTTTTCACAGTCTGGAGGATGTAAAAAAAGGGAATGAGTGTCGGCTTCTGAGCACTTTAGATTTCGACAGAATTAGTAATTACCAGTACTTGTTATGTTTTTTTGCCATCATACCTTGGGACATGAAGAAAGGGATTCTGAATCGTCCCTCAGTGACTCTCTGTCTGAGCGCAGGAAGGCTGGGTCCATCAAATGGAAGAGAGCCGCAGACAAGAACATAAAGCACCACACCAAGGCTCTGCGAAGAAAACAACAAAAAGGAGAATATTAGCATCAGAAGAACATTAACGCTTGATTGATTGTGTCTATATTTTCCTTGTATACGCTTACCCAAATGTCCAGCTGAGGCCCCTCATACTCTTTCCCTTCAAACACTTCAGGGGCAGCATAAGGCGGACTGCCACACCACGTAGACAGAGGCTCCCCTGCATTGTAGAAGTTTCCAAATCCAAAGTCTGTAAAACAGGAGCAGATATACACAATGATTTTGTTATTCAAACTTGTTTGCTTTGTCTACATTCCACAGTTAGGGGCTTGGGGCGCCGGAAAGCAAATGTGTTGCCATCCTCTAACCACAGTGGCTTATGTAATTTGTCATCATGACGTTCATAGACATTCATAGACCAGATCATATCGGGCCAACATTTGCATATTGTCTCTCACACAAAAGACTGGTTGTCTCGCTCTGCTCCGAGACTCAGGCCATAATATATCTTTATGCAAGAGTGTCTGTTTGTGTGCTGAAGTCATTTCCTCTGGATTATATTAGCTTTGGTGAAATGATTGAATGATTCACACTTAATTAGCACAGAGACAGCACAACAGTTGTTTAATTAGAACGGTAAGAAACCCAAAGTTGTGAAAACATTCTTCAGGTGAAAATGAACAAAAACAGCAAAGAGATAGAAGTGTCAGGATCAAAACATTGATTTATAATAAAAGTAAATGATCACTCTGTCTCCCATCGCACAGCACCCTCCTGCCAGCAAACCAGCAACCATGGTAACAGTAAACTGTATATGGCAGACCTACCAGCGAGTTTGATATTCATATTGGCATCCAGCAACAGGTTCTCGGTTTTTAGGTCACGGTGAACGATGTGGTGTCGATGGCAGTAGTCCACGGCTGTAAGAATCTGCCAGAACTTCTTTCGTGCCTCATCTTCACTCATACGGCCATTTGAGGTCAGGTGATCTGGAGGGACAGAGGATATTTTAGTTCACGTTTGTGGTGCTCTATCACGCTCAACAGATTCAGCCTACATTCGTTTGTACAAGTAAAACAAATAAAGACATTTGAAACCTGAACTCACCAAACATTTCTCCGTTCTTTGCATACTCCGTCACAATGTACAGCATGTCTTTGGTCTCCATGACCTACGAGAAAGACAGAGAGACAGAGTTTGAACCAACTGGGTCATGGGCAGCTGGCGATGACGAGGAAGCCTGGAGCGTCTCCGGGCTCGAGACATTTTCTAACCACAAAAATCCCCTTCTCATACTTCTCCATAAAACTTGTTCCACACACACAGAGCACCAACACCCTGGCTTTCCATGATATGCCCTGTTGCATAAGCTAGCTGTCAGTAACTTCCTGCATGCGTTTAGATCACGTTTTAAGATCCATTTATACACGTAAACACAAACCCGAAGGAGAAACGTGTACATGCACACAGACACACTAATATCAAGATGTTTTCCCTGAGGCTGACACTAGTTGGCAACGGACACAAGTGTTAAATTTCAAGCTGCCCCCTATCTCTTTATTTCCAGGAAACAGATATACAGATTCACACAGACTGTTCACATGGGCCTGCTCGTGTATCAAAAACACCAGCAGTGCAATCACTCAATGCCCAGCATGTTATGTAGGCTGGGAAGACGCAATTCACAATCCTTTCCTGCAGCTCATAGAAAGCTTCCAATTCCCAGGAGAGTCCTCGGGGACAGGGCAGTCGGGCAGAAAGGTTGCACAACAAAGCAATTTTGGTTAGATAACAATGCCCTGTCTGTGTAATGCTGCTGGCTAACTTTGAATTAAATGTCACTAAATTCCACTGAATGGTGGAGCTTAACTCTTTTCAGTCACCAGTCCCTTTAGAGAACCACGCAAAGAATGATTCAATACACAGATGCCTCCGAGCCGAGAGTAGTCTTTATCTGTGAGATAGGGCAGCTCTCTAGTGCTCTGTCACCTTGAGGTGCAGCTGACGTCATGGCACTGAAGAATAAGCACGGCACGTCAAGGGCCCTCAAACCATCCCAGAAGGATGATTAACCCCTTAACATCCATATTTTCCCTTTTATTTCCCTTTTAGTTTGATATACTCAAACCTGAGACTCCGTGTTGTTATGCCTGCACCTCTCCGTCAAACACATCAAACAGTTTTGATGTCTTGTGCAGCATTTTACACACCTTTCCCACAATTCACTTTGGGATCTCTGCTACAATTTAAAACACATTTCTGTGGGGTTGAGCAGATTTGGTCTTAACAGGCAAGCTTGTACTGAATGCCCCACCGGTGGGAGGTTTTAAGTGTGTGATTGATACAAGGTCAAAGAGAAGAAGGAAAAGAGAGAGGGAGATCTCGTCTATGATCCCCCACAAAACTGCACCAGCTCTCAGAGGATGTAACCCTTGGATCACAAGACGTTCTTATGTCACTATTGTCCCTTTGTACAGGAAAGAGAAGCAGCAGTGGTGAACAGGGTTGCTAACCATCGTCGAGTACCGACCATCTGACTAGCATCACCTCAGACAACCCAAGGGCACGGAAAAAACTAATAAGGATGCATCACATGCAGGATAAAGACAGAGGTCGTCCATGTTTGACGTCAGAGCTGTACTAGCACCTTGAAAAGAGACTGCGTGATGATAATACAATCCCATCAAATATCTCTCTCTTGTTATATTATATTATATAAAAAACTGTATCAAGGTGTCATAAACAGTTTTCATGTCTAATTGAGATGTCACCAAAAGCTGTCACATTGTGAGAGTCCTTGACAGTAAATATTCTTTTGGAAATGAGTTCTAGTTAAACAAATACACTCGACATTTGACTCATTCGTTATTATTTTAACTTTGAATTAATTCATCTTGTCCACATCGGCCACCTCTAAGAGCAACATTAAACATTAATGTCACTAAATTCCACAGCTGTCTGTCACGACTTTTGATTAAACTACGTTAAAGCACTATTACACACACCAATAGTATTGTTGCATTATCAATATCAAGGTACTGAGCCAGCATTATACTACAGCTGCAATAAACAATTATTTTCAATCAGAATCAGAAATACTTTAATAATCCCAGAGGGAAATTATTTAAATATAGATTGATCTACTGATAATTAATAACAATTAATAATTTGGTCTACAAAATGTCAAAATAGTGAAAAATGTCCATTCCTGAAGCACACGGTGACATCTTTAAATATCGAGCAAATCCTTTCAACTGAGAGGCTGAAACAAGGGAATCTGTGTTAAATGATTAATTAATAATCAAAACAACTAATAGTTTACCAGACTAATTGTTTCAGCTGTACATT